CACTGACCTGACCCGACTGACCTGTCCCGACGGTCTACAGGATGACATCCAGGAGATATTCCCGGTGTACCTGACCTGACCTGACGTGTCTACAGGATCACGTCCAGGAGATATTCTCGGTGTACGGTCCGGTGAAGCTGGTGGACCTGCCGTCGAAGCGGTTCCACTCGGACTGAACCGCGGCTACTGCTATGTGGAGTACGAGACGGCCGAAGCGCCGAGTCGGCCATGAAAACATGGACGGCGGACAGGTACGGCGCCCAGAGGGGGGCCGGCGGGGGCAGGGAGGGGGGACGGGCGGATCGGGCGGGGAGGGGGGACGGGCGGGAGGGGCAGTGAGGGGAGGGGGCGGATCGGGCGGGGTGCGGAGGGACGGGCGGAGAGGGGACGGGAGGGACGGCGGTTGGTGGACTGATAGAAGATTCATCCCGTGTCTGACTGCGTCTGTCAGTGAATGCTCGTACCTGGCTGTATCTGCCGCTCTGGCCGTCTCTGCCGCGTCTGACCGCCTTCTCTGCCCCGGCGTGTGTGTGCCCAGATTGACGGCCAGGAGGTGACGTGCGCGCCGGTGCTGCTGCCGCGCCCGCGGCCCCGCCGCTCCCCGCCGCCCATAATGCGCCGCCCGCTGCCGCCCCGGTACAGCAACCTGCCCAGGTGAGAGCGCGGAGAGAGAGGGAGAGCGGAGAAAGAGAGAGAGAGAGAGCCGATAATGCGCCGAAAGAGAGTGCAGCTTTCGTAAAACGTGAGATCCTTACGCCCTGCCAGCCGCTGCTGCTGCGGTGTTGGCCCCGCAGGTCCTTCCTCACAGGGGCTGAGCAGACGGCTCGGGTGGTTGGACGGATCGGCTCCGCGGGTGCTCGGCTGGCCACGGTGACCGTGTTTAAGGTGTATACTCCTCGGGCTGTTCTGGGCACCAACGGGTTTACCAATTGCTGCAAGTAACCAAAATTTTATAGAGAACCATGGCGGGTCGTGACCGAATTTATGTTTAATAGTTATTAAATCATTTATGTTTAAAGGTAGTGTGCCACCTTTGAAAGATTTCCCATTTTATTTTTCCTAGGATAAGAAGCTTCTGTTTTTACCTAATATCGCAAAAAAAAACAAAAATGGGCCTGGAATAGTGCCTTTTTCGCCTAAAAGTTTATCGGTTTTTAGATATGTATAACAACTGTAGTGGGCTCACCTGCAAACAGGCGTCGGCAACAATCGCGAATGCGGCGCACATGTGACAATAAGCAAAGGTCATTATACCCTGCGTTCGATGTCTCTCGGACGGCGAAGATTCTACGCCGTCCGGCCAATCACGTTCCAGAACTGCAGACGAGCCCCCTCTGACCTTGGACGGGATTGGCCGGATGACGTAGAATCTTCGTCGTCCGAGAGACATCGAACGCGAGGATAGTGTTACGACCATACGACGTACGGGAATGAGCTTTCAGCTGTCTAATCGTAGACAACACAATGTCGAGCCTTAAATTGTAAGCCTGTATTGGTATTGTTTCTTTTATTTGGCTGTCGAACATTATTTATGGTTTGAAATATGATTTTATGTAAAATAATTGATATGAAAAAGCCGTCTCATAAGTTATGACCCCATTTCTCCACACGCAAGTGGCAGAAATGACAATGATCAGCTGACGCATTTTTCTTGGCCGAAGTCAGAGCGCGCAGCCCGACGCACCACCACCGCACCACAAAGTATGAGCAGAAGCCCGCGCCCAAAGCCAGGGCCCCCGGTAACGTGAGGTAGCCGAGTCGGGGCAGCGTGCGCTGACCCAAGTCGGGGCCGCAGCTTTGGGCGCGGTCTACCGCATCCCCGCGGGCAGCCCCGGGCTATCACATGACACCGGGAGGACGCGCGGCTCCGGCTTGGGTCAGCGCACGCTGCCCTGACTCGGCTACCTCACGTTACCGGGGCCCTGGCTTTGGGCGCGGTCTACCGCACCACCTAACAGGCGTGTTCGAAACCGCAGGAGCTGATGATGAACGGGTTTATCGAAACTTGATTGGATGAGCATATCGGTAATAGCGATTTCAGTGTGTGCATTTATTGTTCATAGTGGTGTGAAATGTGGTTGGGGTACGACCGACAACCCGTCGGGGCGAATTTCGCACTGGGGTACTCAAAATTTGAAGAATTTAAGACGTTTCCATGAGTTTTGAAGGTATGGATAAGTTCTAAAAATCCGGTTCTCCTTATCTGGGCCATTAACTCCATACGGTCCAGGAAAGCTGGCACACTACCTTTAATAATTTCTCTCCTGTTTTCTTAACTGGGCGTCTCAAAGCGTCTAGTGAGTCCGATGTGACTTTACTCGACCTGTGAGTTGCGACAGTGCGGTTCGGACCGTCCCCCGGCGGCTCTCAGTCTCGGCCCTCTGTCACACCGACTCAGTCCCGACTCCCGCGCCGCCGTGTGTCTGAGCCGCGCCGCGTCTGCCGCAGGTACCGGCGCCGCTCACCGCCGCCGATGCGCCGCCGCTCGCCGCCGCCGCCGCCGCGCCGGCGCCGCTCGCGGACGCGCTCACGCAGCCCGCGCCGCCGCCGGCAGCCGAGCCGCAGTCGCAGCCGCAGCCGCAGCCGCTCCAGTTCGGCCTCCAGCCGCTAGGGGCGCCGCGGTCGGCCAGGGTACGGGGGCTGGGTGGACGCTGGGAGCGACTCTCCGCCGGCCCGGACTGGCCCGGCTGGACAGTGGGCAGCGGGCCCGCCGCCAGGGACCGCCGGGCGCCGGCTGGTTCGGCCGCCTGCCGATAGGCGGCGGACGGTTCCGCAGACTCTCACCAGATGGCAGGAGGGGTGGTGTGCAGTGGCTACCCGCGCGGTTCGAGTGCAGAATGCGTGGGCTCGTCGACTGGGCTTGTCACATGGGTGGAGCCTCTGTGCTTGTGCTCTGGTGGGGAGGCACTCATTAGTAAAATCAGAAAGTTCTGGATTCATAAGCCCTTGTCCCATTTGCACGAACTCAAAGCGTGAATGAGTGTCCATCAGACCGTCGGGCCCATTTGCTGTCGCATGCCGTCGTCTGTTGGCAGTGTGGCGTCATCGCTGATCATCACCCCTAGTTTCAGCCACCGACATCCGCGCGTGTGCCTGTCTGTCTGTGTGTGGGAGCCAGAGAAGTCACCTCTCCATCTCAGCGAGGGCCCCGTCCGCCATTTCGGAACAAAGTCGGGGCCCGCTGGAATCATTTTAGCGCGTGTGTTTGTGTCTCTTCTGTCAATACACTGGATTCGGCCGCCAGCCTGTGCGATTCTCTGAGGCAGGATTATTGGTTTCGTTGACCAAAGCACCGCTCACCTGTCTGTGATCGGCACTGATCTGCGCGGTCCGTCGCTGGATCCTGCTATAATCGGATGGCCAGCCACCAAATCATCCGACTCCCAAGGACCTGTATGGACCGATAGTTCCGTTTCTGCGGCCGCGGTGCCACCGCTGGTTGTTTTTCGTCGCTGCTCGGAACGCGATACTGCTCTGCCTCTGATTCGAGCCGGATCATTGGACACTGTTTTATATATTCGAGCTGGTCCGGTCGGCGGGGCCGGTTTGGGCGCGTTACCAGCGGCGCGACTCTCCGGCGCTCGGCGGTATCGCCCCAGCAGCTGCCGGTGTTATCCACTGGTGGAACTGACAGTGGCCCGTCACCGAGGGTGGCCAGCTACCCCCGGCCTCCGTCCATCTGACCCCACCGTCACCCTGGGTCGCCAGACGCCTGCTGCTCCCGGCCTCCGTCCATCTGACCCCACCGTCACCCTGGGTCGCCAGACGCCAGCGATTGCCGGCCTCCGTCCATCTGACCCCACCGTCACCCTGGGTCGCCAGACGCCAGCTACTCCCGGCCTCCGTCCATCTGACCCCACCGTCACCGTGGGTCGCCAGACGCCAGCTGCTCCCGGCCTCCGTCCATCTGACCCCACCGTCACCCTGGGTCGCCAGACACCAGCGATTGCCGGCCTCCGTGGTCCATTCGGCCCCACTCCGCCCCACCTGGGCCAGAGTTCACCGGTCCCTAACTCCTGCAGAGAGGCCCTCGAGAATAACCCGCGCCGGTGGGGGGGGGGGGGGACGTTCTACGTCCCTCCCTCTTATCAAGTTCTTTTGGTTTATCTCTCCATAGACAGGGGCAGGGCACTCAAAGTCGGGTCACCCAGTCAAGAAAGCTAAGATGTTCGCCGCTGCCACACCGACTGAACGATTGTTTTGAAACCGGTGATTTATCAGAGTGACGGGATGCCTAAAGGCAAGCACATATTTCAAGTTTTCGTATTTGGGATCCGAGCTCAGCTAAATGATGCGACCTCTGTTAAGTCTATGGGGGGGGGGGGGGGAATGAACTGCGTCTTTTTGGACGAAAGTCGTAGGTGAAACGTCCCCACTGTGCCTCAATGGACCATGGTTCAACATTATACAGGGCGTGCATCATTGAAATAAGATTATGTAACACTTTTTGTTTTCACGAGGCCAAAAAATCAATGCTACTAAAAGCCTTATTTCGGTTGTTTGACCTGACCTTGACCCGACCCGTGACCTCAAAATTCAGCTATAAGATCCGTATCCCGTATCCGAAGCGTCTCGTCAGCAGCGTTCGTGGCCTACCGCCTCGCCTGTATCGCTACGGCTGCTGATTCTCTGGCCATCGGCCGGGGCCGTTCAGCGACCTCCCCCCCCCCCCCCCCAGCGAGTGGTGGGTGGCAATATACCTACTCCAGCAAGTGGCTGAGAAGACGCTGCCGCGGATAGGTACGGTTTAGGGAGCAGGGCGGTATGTGATGCATAAACTACAGCTATACTACTGCATAGTCACCGTCCGGTCGTGATCTCAGGAGCCGAGTGAGAACAGAAACCCTCCCCGGCGCGCCCCTACACCCCCTCCCCGGCCGGCCTTATACCCCCTCCCCGGGCCGGCCGCCCCTACACCTCTCCCCGGGCGCGCCCCTACACCCGCTCCCCAGCCGCCCCTACACCCCCTCCCCGGCCGCCCTTATACCCCTCCCCGGCCGCCCTTATACCCCTCCCCGGCCGCCTTATACCCCTGTACCCCGCCTCGATGTGTTGCGATCGGACCGTCCAACGGGCGTAAAGGGGGCCTTGCACAGAATATGCCGCAGCCCTTCCAAAAATACCTTCGGCCGCCACTGCAATACAGGGTGTCCCATAAGTTCCTTCTCACCTAAATTTTTCTTTTAGAGGCTCTCTTATTTAAAGCCACGCTTAATTTATTTTGTAACTGAGCTTTTGGGGTTGCCATGGCAACTGTGAATGTGCTCCACGGTAACTAATTCGTCTAGACAAAATATTTTTTTGCCAGAGAGTTCACTCCCTGTGGAGACGGCTAGCGCCACAACATAGAGGTCTCCGATACGGGTACGTCTCGGTATTTAGTCAGCACGTGACCATTCACGACGGTTGTGAGGGTGATTGAGGCCTACCAGTATGTAGCCAATGTCTGTCGCTAACTACACGCACAGTCAGCAAGTGACGCTGATGATTTGTCAGGAGTCAATCGCTGCAAGTTTATGCTCTTTTTTTGTCAGCTTTCACGAGTGAGCCATGTGGCCAAAACTGTGTGGCACCAAAATGGCCGTCAAAAAGGTCTTAGCGTTAGAAAATTGGTAAACAGGCTTTTCAGGATGCATTACCAGCTGTCTAAGAGCATCATTTTGGGGTACCTAACTCATGGTGACTTAAGCTCTACTTACCGGAGGGTTCAAAACAGTCAAAAACGTCTTAAAATGGCCAAACAGGTGTTTCGTTATGCCTGAGGCTAAAAAAAACTCGAGGGCCGATGACATCAATGTGGTCATCTGGACTACCTAGTCCGTGCTCGAGATAAAACACCGGTCCAAACCCCAAAACGGTCCCATATGGGCGACGGAAAAGGCTTTTATGTCATCCAGCTTTATTCCTATGCAAAAGGCCAGGGTCACCGTAATGTGGGGTAATATGCGTCCAGACACTGATCACGTTGCGATTGATACTCCAGAAACAGTCTTGGGACGCAGAATGCTTCTCCAAGAAGATCTAGTAGGAGTTTCAGCTTTCTAGCTTAACTCTAACCGCAAGTATGACCACATTTTTTAGGAGAAAATGGCATCCAGGAGGTCATAGGCCCATCTTCAAGCAAGACGGTGCATCAGTGCACAGGTCAAGCAAAGCTTAGAAGCAGTGCCAGGAGACTGTGATAGGCGTGTGTGGAAAGATCACATCCCAGCCAACTCATCGGATCCAAATTTCATAAAAATGTGTTGGGAATATTGAAATCGAGGCTCGTCGAAGCGAAGCGGTGTTCCAGCATTGAGGAGCTCACAGCGCATGCCAAGTCAGTCTGGGCTAACTTCAAGCCTGCTATGCTGCCAAACATGCCGGTTGGCATGTCGCAGCATGTATTCATGTGTTTGCCTATGAAATGGGGAGCACATTGAGGGGTTATAAACATATCAAAACGCAATGTACTCTGTTTTACATGCAAATATAAGGTGAGAACGAACTTATGGGACACCCTGTAGGTGCCCACTGCCCAGTGCTTCTGTTGAACTTGAGTACCTCGTCAACCGACCCCAGCCTTCGACAGAGCAAACATTCGGCATGTTTTAATGGCGAGTCAATAGTTCCCAGTTACACTTCGTCTTCCACTAAACATCACATCAAAGACGTCAAACACACAGAAACAGGCTGTATTCATGCATCAAAGAAATAACAGTGCCCACTGTGGTGGGGATAACAATGGAAACGCACACACCAAAGCTCTGTTCGTAGGAACAAGAGTAGTCCGTAGTTGTATACTTACAATCCTCATATCAACAAAAGTGGTTTTGGGGGTGGCGGCGGTGGCTGTGGGCGTCCTCGGAGCACATGATTACCGGAGTTCAGCAGGCGGAGCTCAGCGGACGGTTACCGGAGCTCAGCGGACGGAGCTCCGGAGATCAGCGGACGGAGCTCCGGAGCTCAGCGGACGGTCACCGGAGCTCAACGGACGGTTATCGGAGCTCAGCGGGGACGGTTACCGGAGCTCAGCGGACGGAGCTCCGGAGCTCAGCGGACGGAGCTCCGGAGCTCAGCGGACGGCTACCGGAGCTCAGCGGGGACGGTTACCGGAGCTCAGCGGACGGTAACCGTCTGTCAGCAGTCACCGGAGGCCGGCGAACGGAGCCCAACAGACAGAGCCCCTCAGAGAACGGAGCCCCTCAGACGGTGGGCCTCCCTCCTCTGAGGGGCGGCGGCGGGAGGCCCTCCTCTGAGCGGCGGCGGCGGGAGACCCTCCTCTGAGGGGCGGCGGCGGGAGACCGTCCTCTGAGGGGCGGTGGGAGGCCCTCCTCTGAGGCGCGGCGCGGCGGTCGGAGGAGAGAGCAGCGCGCGCGGCGGCGGGAGCTCGGCGGGCCGTCGGAGGCAGCTCAGTCCGGCGCCGGCCGCCGTCCGGTGAGCAGTCCCGCTGTCCGTGCCGACCGGCGGACCCAGCCAGGTCTCCGGCTGACCGGACAGGGTGACCTCAGCAGCTGACCTGACCGGCTGACCTGACCGGCTGACCTCTGCAGCTGACCGGACAGGGTGACCTCACCAGCTGACCGGACAGGGTGACCTCTGCACCTGACCTCACCAGCTGACCGGACAGGGTGACCTCAGCACCTGACCTTACCGGCTGACCTCAACACCTGACCTGACCGGCTGACCTCAGCAGCTGACGGGGCCGACCAGGACTGACGCGCCAGCTGAGCTGTGTACCTGTGGAAAGGCAGCTAAAGACCGCTCTGCGCCCGAGATGGACTGGTGATGTAGCGCGGCTTGTTTGGGAAGTGTTTGACACTTCTACTGGACACTGGAGAAGGGGCTAATCTGTCGAAATCAATCAGTCGAGATCGAACATGATGGAACTGCTGTGGCCGTGGAAACGACCAACGTTCAACATCAACTTCTTCAACAACATGAAGACGCACAACGGAAACAAAGGTGGGTGTTAGTCGGCTAACGGTTCGTACAGCCAGCTACCGATCCGTACAGTCAGCTATCACTTATCCGTACAGTCAGCAACCCGTACAGTCAGCTACTGATCCATATGGTCAGCTACTGATCCATACAGTCAGCTACTGATCCATACAGTCAGCTACCGGTCCGTACAGTCAGCTAATCGTCCATACAGTCAGGTACCAATCCGTACAGTCAGCTACCCGTACAGTCAGCTAACGGTCCGTACAGTCAGTTACCAATCCGTACAGTCAGCTACCCGTACAGCCAGCTACCGATCCGTACAGTCAGGTACCAATCCGTACAGTCAGTTATCCGTACAGTCAGCTACCCGTACAATCAGCTACCGGTCCGTACAGCCAGCTACCAGTCCGTACAGTCAGCTATCCGTACAGTCAGCTATCCGTACAGTCAGCTAACGGTCCGTACAGTCAGCCAGCCGTCATTCAGCTACCGATCCGTGTAGTTAGGTACGGGTCCGTGAAATGGACTGGGCAGACCAGCCCTGGACCACCGACTCGCCGCCTTCCGCTCTACCTAGATCCATTTCAGGAAACTGGTTCTGCATTAAAAACCGTTTTTTATATAGGGCTAGGTAGGTCATTGGCCCAATGGCCCATGGATAGGTATATTGCACAGTACCTACGCTTTCCAAAACTTTGTTTATTGATGAACGAGGTGAGATGGAATTATTATTTGAGAGCTAAAATAGGTAATTACCTATTGTCATGTATGTACCTATTGAACTCGCTTAAAAGATAAAACGTATCGGTATATCTTGTAAAGTGGTGCCATCCGTTTATCGGTTTACCTGGTGCTAAATAGGTATTACTTAGCACCTAATTAGAGTGGTACCAGAGGGTCACTTAGTGTGACCCTGTGGTATCGACCTGGTCTCAAACCCTGCAGTGACTGTCGAGGGCTGGTATACCCCTGATAATTTTCTCTCTTAGTGTATTCAGTACCTAACTGTAAGCCTCAACCAAATTCAGTGCATACGTGCATACATCTGCCTACTCATAGTCAAGTCAACTCATAGTGTCAACTACGACCGAAGCGCGTGCTGTGCCCTGGGCCTGGTGCTCCGTCATCCATCCATTAGTGTTCATTGGCCCACTATTAATCCCGTGTGCCGCCGCTGGGGCGGACGGCCAGTGTCCTCCGAGTGATGCACGGCCGGGACAGCCGAGTGTCCTCCGAGTGATGCACGGCCGGGACAGCCGAGTGTCCTCCGAGTGATGCACGGCAGACGCCGAGTGTCCTCCGAGTGACCCCCCCCCCCCCGGACCGCCGGCCGGGAGTGGGAGGCGGGAGGAGCTGAGCGGACCGTGTGTGGGACCGTGCCGCGGCTGACTGGCACGGCGGCACAGACACAGCCCACACCAGTGATATAGGTGCCCGATTGAGACAGCAAGATAGTGTGACAAAGCGGCTAACTTGTTGTCTTCATTAACAGCTTGGTTTGACGACAGCCAAGTGCACCTATTCATTATGCCTTCATAATTACATATTATTTGTCTCTAGGCTGTTGAGGCCCAGTTTTCCAGGGCGGGAGCCGCTGTAGGCTGAAGGCTGTTTTCCGGCTGTTTCTGTATGTTTCCCGGGTGCGGGTGGCGTCCTGAACACCTCCCCAATGGAATCCACCTTTCACCAGCGCCCTACCCGACTCCGCGGTTCGCAGCGGTGCAGAGAAAGATCATCGATCATGGTTGCGAAGAAAAGGCGCACGAGGATAAAAACACTCAGATTGGTGGCATGGAACCGATCATAATTCAGACTGGCAAACAAACTGCACACGACGGACGGGCACCTATAAAGGACATGAAATAAACTGTAAACCTCTGGTCTCCCAGCTAACAATTTGCCGTTGTTACAACGTCGTTTAAACGTTGTCAAATGGTTACCACAACGTCCCGATTTATCGTTGTGACAACGTAATTTTGTAGACTCCAGACAACGGCGTGACAACGTCATCCGACCATGCATTTGAATGTCATCACAACGTTTCTGTAACGTGGCCGTGACGTCCCAAAACTGTTCTTACAACGTCCCGCCAACGTTATGAAATGTTTTCTGTAACGTACCAACAGTGTTTCTGGAACGTTGTCACCACGTTTCCGCAACGTGACTACAAGGAGTATAGAACGCTTTGGCAACGTCTCTGCGCCGTTTTTATCACGTGCGCACCACGTTGTCGCTACTTCGCATTGCCGTCCCTGCGACCCTGAGTAAACGTCCTAAACATTTTCGCAACGCCCTCTCAACGTGTTCGCAACATACTCAGAATGTGTTTCCGACGCTCTCTTCCCGTTCTCTAGAGTTGTAAAAAAAGGCATGTAAGAAGTGTATATTTCAATACATCATACAGGTCAATTTACAACAAACAAACAAAACGACGGCGGCGGCATCGGTGATGGGGCATGGGGCCCAGGGGCGCCCCCATGGGGTTCGTGGGACGGAATTGGGTTCTACCGGCTCTGACGCTAGCCGCTAGCACGCCAGAACTGGTGGAAGTTCACTTCTTCACTAACCCTCGCTGGGAGGATCACTCGGCGGACCGTTAGGCACCGGCCCATTTGCGGCCTCGATGTCCCTAGGCAGCTGGCAGTGCCTGACTAGACGGTCTGCGCACCCCCCGTTCCGGTCGCAGCTTCCGGACAGCCACTTCGCTACCGCATTGCCGACAGTAGGCCTGCCGCAAGGCGCGCTGACGAGTTGCAGGACGTCTGCGGGAAGACATGAGGGAAAATCAGACATTCAATTCATGAAAAAATCACAAAAATACCTGCACCACTTTCCGTAACAGTGCGACAGGCTAGATCAAACATGTCAACACCTTAGAGGCTAGAGCTACAATGAACTATAGCCTAGACCGCACGATATTACAAGGCACAATCTTGCAAATGCTACTCGTAAATGGTACTTTGACTTACCAGTCAAAACAACAATCGCATCAAACGCAGACAACTGGCGCTATCTTTCATCTTCCAGCTATCTCAGCCGCGCCCGCCGCCGGCCCTCACTGCTCGCTCGCGCCGCGTAGACTGCGGCTCGGCCGGCTGGCTCTGAACGCCGGCCGGTGACACTGACGTCACGGCCCCTCAGGCGAGGTCAGGGCGCGAGCCACCGTTCGCCTGAGTGGCGGCCCGCGTGGCTTGCTGGCAGCCGCGGATAACAGCCGCGTTTACATAGGGATAGTTGCAAGCCTCTAGCTCCGCGATGTTGCAAAACATGCCAATGACGCTTTGCAATTTACACATTTTATATGTATATATATATATATATATATATATATATATATATATATATATATATATATATATATATATATACATATATATATATATATACTGACATATATATATATATATATATATATATATATATATATATATATATATATATATATATATATATGTATATATATATATATATATATATATACATATATATATATATATACTGACATATATACATATATATATATATATATATATATATACTGACTGACAACGTGATATATATATATATATATATATATATATATATATATATATATATATATATATATATATATATATATATATATATATATATATATATATATATATATATATATATATATATATATATATATATATATATATTAGAGAGAGATAGAGAGAGAAAGGTATCAGAATTTACTTGTAAAAACACCCGCTAATTATTCAGTACCTATAATGTCAAGGTTGTGAAAAACCGTTTTAACAACGTGTTGGCGACCACCAGCTGACAACGTGAACAGTCCAAGTGTTAAAACATGTCAAATTTAACGATGAAAACTGAATATGCGCATTGAAAGTCAAAGGAAATGCATTATATGGCCATATATGTCACCATGCATTATCAAAATATAATGCTGCAAGTGCGCGGTTGCTGCAACGTACCAATAAAACGTTGTCACCACGTTTTACCACGACTTTCGGACCAAACCATGGCTTCACAACGTTTAGAACGTTGCTACAACGTAATTAAAACGTAATTTCGCAACTTACCGAAACACGACGTTGTGACAACGTTGAAGTAACGTTTCCTGCTAGCTGGGCTGGCCTCTGGGCACGACCTAAATCCACTAAAAGGCCATACCAGGGTTAGCATTAGATTCGGTAAAAGCCATCCGATGGAATGTAAAGCAGGTATACCTAAAATTATTGCACATATGTATACAGGTGCCTGAGGCTTTTATTCAGGTAAGAAGGAGGATTGAGAAAATGAACTGAATGAAGCAGGCTATAGGCACCGCCAGCCCGGGTAGGCGCGATTCGGTTTGCAGAGGAGGATTGTTATTCGTCGGCTCTAAATTGGTGATGGACACTGCTAGGAAGAAATACTCCCAAAAAGCTACCCAATTTTTGAAAACTCATCTGTTTCTGCTTCGCTAATCGCTATGCTTTGGTGTGCAGGAAATTTTTCTTCTTCTTTGAACGAGTGTAAAGTTTCAGTCTTTGCAAGAACACGACAAGACTTCGTTGAATGTGAACCCTGCTAGAAGGACAAAGTCGCCCTCTGATCCGGCGATGCGATTCTGACTGCTGAGCGCGGGAGGCGCCCGCCGCGCGGCGCGGCGGACCTGCCGGGTAGGCTGTGCCGGAGAGCAGCCCGGTGGTGCGGCACAGTCTACCCTCTCAGTGACGGACGGCCGGCAGCCGCCCCACACTGGGCCGGGGGCCCGGAAAAGTGCTAGAAATTATTTGTGATTGAGTTGTTGATCTCAGCGACAAGCAAACATGCTAAAAACGAAGTGGGGCTGCTTAACCCTCGCCGGACCTGTTGTCGGACCCCCCACCCCCTCGGCCGGCCGAGGGGGGAGGGTTGGTACGACCCCTTTTCGCCGTTTCGCCCCTAATGGAGCTAGAGCCTCGCGGAAAAAACAAGCGTGTGCGCCGTTTCAAGACGGAACGATTGATACCCGATTTCAAGGTCCCATGTCAACCGGTAACCTCTGA